ATGTTTCATATGCCTACAAAGTGTACCGGCTCGGGGGAACGGCGTGCGTGCGTAGCACCATGCAGGCTCACCCGTTGGCCTAGCTGCAGGCTGCCTGGCACGCATGGGGATGACACGGCGTGCAAAATAAGCAATTTATCGTGTCAGGTGATTAAGCGTTCAGGGTTCATCAACAACAACAGTATCACACAGGGATGGGCTCTCACACCTTGACCGCCTTATAAATTTCCATCAAGTCCGATAACGGCATTGTGAGATGTCGACCGTGAGCCAGCATTAGATAATTTTCTTTGCGGTTGTTGCCTTGTGATTAGATTCTTGAATCAAAGTGCCTAAAGAGACAACCTCGAACCTAGCTGTAGTCAAAGTTATCGGGTAAACTCGTGAAAAGAACGTCCGACCAGTATTACAGCTTGTGTTACGGCTTTCAGGGAAATTGACGCCATCGGCCATGGTGTGGATGAATAGTATGCGAGTCCGAATTCTCAGTCTGGAATGGACTCTTGGAATTGAATGCTGGAATCTGCAAACCTTCTTCAACTCTGTTACTCAAAGTTCTCACCACTACAATATGGATGTCAGTTGTCTCGAATCACGCTCTCATCAAGTCAAGATTTCAGAAATCACATTCCACTTAGCTATCACGCCGACCAACGCAAATTTTCTGTAGACACACTGTGACGATCGCTCTCACACGACAAGCAAGCCACACAGCTAGCATCTAAGACTTTTAGTGGCTGGCCAGTTAATTTATAATTATATCTCAATCGAGAAAGAAAGGAATAGCAGATGGTCATCATCCAACTTATTAATCTGCGTGGAAGTTGAGAAAATTCTTAGATGTACTCCGCGTTAACTGAATCAGCTCAAGAAAGACTGCCGAAATGTTCTACGTAGGCTCTGCAAGGAGAATTCCCTCAACTAAGTGCGGAAAGTCATGATGAAGTTGGCTAGAGTCAACCCTTAAAATCATTAGGCTGAAGTGGCAATCTCTATACTGCAAATCCCGAATCCCAAATTTCGAAAACCCTAAAAACCGACAAACTATTCGCCAACTGTTTGCCATTTAAATCGCGACTTTATTTTAACAAGTCGGCGAATGTCAAGTGTTGCTGAGACCGCTTAAGGAGTATTTTCAATTTGAGGGACCAATCGATCAAGTCAGCCTTCGTCTGCGGCGAAGTTTTCTCCTTTTCTAGCCTATGTGGTTTCATGTGGCCCTACTTTTCAAGGGCACATTGTTCACATAATACTGAGGCTGTGTAACAATGTCATCGTCTATAAGTCTCATATCGATACGGTTGAATAGATTCCGTGAGGAGGTTGAGCAAGCAGCAGATTAGCTCGTTCCTGCTCACGAGCCGTATCATTCTCGTGCCCGTTGTAAAGACAGGAGACATAATAAGGCATGTGGACTAAAATGGCACAGTTTCTGGCGAAATGGCTACTAAGGCCTTCGCCGTTGCCACTTTAAGGCTGTTATATTTGCTTAGAGCACGAGACCCAACCGAGTCGGACGTGAATGTGCCGTCCAAGTATTCACACTACGGCTCTTGCATTCTGTCATGGCTGCCAGTACTCTATTCTGTTAACGGTGAGCCCCTGTGGCAGATAATAGAGCTAGACCATGTGCCGGCAAAATTCGTCGTTAGTATTAACGCCTGGTGTTGCTCCACCATCCCGCAGGTTCTGGTCACTAAAGTCCCCAGCACTTCCATATTTGGTTTGGTGTTCGACAAGGTTGCATTCTGTCACCCGTCCTATTCAACTGTGTCACTATCCGGAATCCCAGAAGAGTCTCGGGCGGTTGAAGTGGTGTTCAATCTGTGGC